GGAGTCTATGAGGAATCAGTCATCTTTGGCTTACATATTAAAAACTGTTACATGCAGTAATGTCAAATAATGCTGCTCTCTCTATCAGCAGACAATATGGTGGAAGAGACCTTTCCAGAAAGCAGTTGATTCATTAAGTTTGAAATTCATCTCCCTGTGATGTACCAACCCAGGGTTGGGATCTAGACAAATTAGGTCAGTTTATGGATTGTGTGAGGATATGGGACAATATCCTCAGGGCTGTATTTTAGAACAGGAAGTTCCCTGAGGTCAACTTGGTGTTGTCAGTTCTTCCTCTCCAGAATTCTGTGGAATTAAATTACTTTTTGCCTGATCAGAAGCTTTGTTTGGTCCTTGGTCTGGGCTTACTTTCTGCCCAGAATCCTCTGTAAGGCAAGACAAGATGCAGCAATAGTAATCCTGTTGGACAAGGTAGTTATTTCAAGATCATACAAAAAGCACCAGAATGCTACATTTATCTCCCAATATTCTTCAGTCCGTGTAGTGTGGGTTTCACTCGTTTTCTTGCATGGATGCTGCAGTGGCTTCTGGGATGAGCCCCCTTACAATAGTCTCTAGTAAAGAAATATCCTAGATACTAGTAGGAAAGATGATACACCTATGTGCCTGAACAGACACCTTTTTAAATTACTGTACGTGCTGAAGCAGGTATTTCAAAATGTCAGGATCTGAAAAATCAACTCAGGTTTTACCTCTGTCATCATTGCCTTTCACAAATAAAGAATTCCTCAGTAAGATGGGAATTGTACCAATTTACAGTTTCTAAAGGGTTTATTTGTGATATAGTGTTCAAGGTGAGGACTTTCTCAATGTAGATAAAGAGATACGTAATTCAGTTATGCGTGTTCCAGGTACAGCTTTGGTATTTTCACGGCACCTATATGGGCCTCAAAATTGACTTAGGGAATGTCCTGGCATGTTGAAAGTGAGTGTACAGTTGTGTGATTGAGTTATCTAACTTTATATTTCATTGTTTGTGCTGATAAGTAAATTACTTGGGTGTAAATTTTGTAGTCAGGTATATCTTTGGAGAATGAACAGAAATTCCTGCTTCTATCATTTCTGTCTTTGAGCGGAAATGGTATAGTTCAGACCTCTGATAGGTAGGATCCTTCGCCTTTCTTCTGTGGGGTGTAATACAAATTCTGACTGTATGAAAATAAACAAAAATCTGTGCTAATTGTCCTCTTTGTATTTTGAAATTTAAGAATAAAGTATATTTTTTCGAGGTAATATTCAAAATTATTAATAGTTTATTGTGGTAAAGTTTTATATGAAGGAATCTGAAAATCTTCTCATTCTATTTATTGGACTAATCTTGCGCTACATATGTTTGGGAGTCTTCAGATGAGAAGTCAAAGATCAAATGCATGTAGTGGGAGATTGTTCTGTTGTTCCCAGACAACTATGAATAAAACTGGTAGTAGAGGGTTGTGTTACTGTCCCTGTTGTTTCCCCACTTAAATGAAGACAAAGGGAGGTACTCAAATTAGCACCATTTTAGGAGTCGTGTAAGTTCTTTTGTTTAATACTGTACCAGTCATTCACTGATTTACAGCAGGAATTGAGGGGGCTTTGGCCCATTCACTAATACAGTTTAGTGTAGGTGCACGTTCCAGGTCATGCACTGCAAGAGGGGACCCTGTGGCTGCACAGCCTCTCAGTCAAGGTCATAACTGCATCTGGAATTGAAAGCTAACTTCACTAGGCACTGTAAAGACATAACAGCAAAGTCTTGCAGTTGGTAATAAAGGTAACACACTAGTTGTATTCAATACTGTCTTGTTTCTGCACGAAAAGTTCATACTCAGTCTTCCTACTTTTTTTTTCTTACATGTTGAAGGGCAAAACTTTATTTTACTTAATTGGGAGCAATAAGCATTGGTGAAAGTGTATTCCGGGCTTTTTTACTAGTCTGATTTTTCAAAAGACACTGTCAAACATTAATATCTTTAAAAAACTGGTTATTTTTCCGGAATGTTTCATTAAATGTGGCATCTAGATCATTGATTGAAGAAGTCTATTTCACAGAATTGTGTCGATAACATTAAAGACTATCTCTGCTTTTTTCATGGAGTATGTTACAAGGCATACTTTCTTATCATTGGTATGCTAAAAAGTGTACTTGGATTGCAGTTTTAGCTTTGCTCAAATATTGGATTGGGTTTTTTAAGAAAAAAAAAAAATTAAAAGCTGGATAGTATTAAATCTTCCTAATAAGCAAGTCTCTCTTCCACTTAATTTGTGCTTTTGTTGTGGCTAACAAATAATTTGCTGTATGGGTTTTTCTGTACACCATTGATAGAATATATAAGCTTGTCATCCTAGTGTGCTGGAAATGCTACACTCAAATCAAGTGTTCCTTTCTGGTTTTGTATATCCTCACCTGCTCCTCACTGTAAATCATTGAGATGTCAAGAGCAGTGATTAATTAAGCTGCACGTGCAAGTGCTTTTTTTCACCTGTCAAGTAGGAAGAAAACTTACTATAGTGAATTGTGTGATGCCGTTTAATGCATTTCTTTTTATTCTGAGCTCTGAGGTTTGGAGAAATATTTTACAGTCTAATTTTCATTACCATTTCTGTATTGATGATACGACATGATTTGGGAGCTACTGCTATCACACATTATACTTCAGGAAGAATTGTATTTAAGGCTCTGGGAATATAATAATCGTGGTCTTGAGGCTGCATGTGTTTTTATCTCATGCTAGTCAAATGACTTTAAACTGGCTTACTTAAATAAACCAATTAATAGTACATAACTACCTATCAGTTTCTTATTTATGTGTATGTATTGTAATATATATGTAATTTTATTGGAATTTGAAAAGCTTGGATGTTTTTCACACTCTTTGGGGCAAACAATGCAATTAAATTGTGTAGTGATCTTAATCTATTATTAAAAGGTCCTGGAAAGGAAGATTACAAGGTAGATTCAGGTTTTGAATCAGTTTTGCCATTGGTTTAGCAGCGGGTGGGCAGGCAGATGCCTGCTCAGAGTAGAACCTATTGCCATTTTTCACCATTGATAGAGTAGCCTTTCAGAGTCAATGAGCTCTGTCAATGTGAGCTTGTCAAGGCTACAACTTCATAGACCTGAGAGGCGGTTTGAGAGGTCAGCCCTTTTCAGGTTTGCTGTGATGCAAATGAACTTTAATGCTTAAACAACTATTGGAATTTTTATGTCTGCTCCTTGTTCTTTTTTCTTCACAAAGTCATTGACGAGACATTCAGTGCTTTTTAAATTGGAAGTTGCATTGTGCTAAAGACCTAGTACAGATTTACGGAGGGCTGAAAGCAGTTAGATCATGTTCTTTTCATGGTGCGATTAGAATCAAATCGATTTCCCTACAGCCTTCAGCATTCAGATGGCAATTTTAACAAAGCTTGGGGGCTAGACAAGGGACAAAACGACTGAACTGAATGTTAATTACACTCTGCAGCCTTATTTTCTTTTGATTTGGAGCTGACTGGCAACTAAATTAACAAAAGTGTGACCATAACTGCTGCCCTATTTTCATTTAAAAGGAGAGCAGACTCTAAAAGGCTATCTTTACAAAGAAACAAGTGAGGTCTACTGATTATTGTTAAAGGGCACTGTCTTTAAAAACATAATAATAATAACCCCCAAAATACTTAATTCCCAATTGATGTGATAAATTAGTCACTGGCACATCCACCTTCTGATAATTCCTTGACTTACACTTTTAAAAATAAAACATAATAAAAATTCAGTGTAATGATTACTCATAGATAGCAATGATCTAATTTTTAATCATGTGACCACAGTACATGCTTAGATGTGTTTCCCCACAACCACTTCGGTATTAAACTAGAGAGAAACGAGTGTTTGAAAACCAAGGTGTTAATGTTTGGTGGGAAATGAATAATTTGTCTAATTTTTATTTTACTCAGACATTCTTGTTTCTCATGACAGCATTTGGTTTCATTTGTTAAGGTTCATTTACAGTACTTGAGTTTGTAGTAATAACAGCAAGATGCTTTCTCATCCCTTCCCCTCACCCCTCTCTGCCTTGTAAGGAAGCTGCAGCTGCACTAAGTTGTATTTGATCCTTGTCATTGCTCTGTCCTTTTGCACCTGCAGCTCTGTTGGTCTCATCTTAACACCTGGCATCATGAATTATCCTCTTTTTATTCATAGTCAGTAGCAAATCCCATTTAGAGCTAAGCAGTATATATTCTGGCAGGCAAATGACCATAAATGTCAAAATGTATTTCTCAAATGTAAATATAACTGAATAATTATATTCAAAATGCTGTGAAACTTTACAGCACAGAATATCCTTTGATACTAGCATGCATAATCTTAAAAAGCTGTGCAGAACAGCTTTCGGGATTCTCTATCTGCAGTGTCAAGTGTGGACAACATAGGCAGTAAAACTTCGTTTTAGAATCCTGAGGACTGTGTTTGCTCTTTATACAAATCACAGATTTAGTAATATCCATTGTGCAATTTACTGTAACTTTGTGCATTTGGTTTTCAGTCTCTAAAATCTGGATATAAAAGTAATAAATTTCTGTTTTGTTTAGAGTATTATGTATTTGTACTTGACCTACAGAATTGCAAAATAGTTTGCAGCATTAGTCAGTTTAGATGCCAACTTTTGTAGCAGTGCATTTGGACCACTGATACTGGGGGGAGAATTGTTCCTGCTTTTATACTTAAATCACTTCAAAATTTCTGTGGTTTTAAAGCTATAACTGCTATAAGAATGAGAAAATACATATATGAACGGGTTTTGTTCCAAAATGGCTAAAGATAGTTATTTGGGTGGCATAAAAAGTTGTTTCTGTTCCAGTTACTATTTAATACCAGAGAAGTTTTAATAGTACTACAGACCACCCTGTACTCAGTCACTGTCCTGTACCTCTCTCCTTTTCACACAAAAGCAGCTGCAAAACAAAGTTTTTCTAAAACCAGTCAAGAGTAAAATTCTTTCTCATTTGTCTTCCAGACACGAAGATCGATTGAGAAGTTATTAGAATGGGAAAACAATAGGTTATACCACAAGGTGAGTGCCGCAGGGAGCAGCTTCGTACTGTTGGAGTTTGAATTGCACAGTATGGAAACAGATGCTTTTGTTGAACGAAAAATATGAAAGGTGGACAAATGGGCTAGTCTGTGTGCTGCAATAAAATACAGCTCATTTTTCTTCTTTTTCTTTCCTCCTTGTCTAGCTGTGCTTGCATTGGAGACTAAGCAAAAGGAAATGTGAAACGAATAACATGATGGAATATGTAAGTTAAAGGGCTGTTTTGTGAGTTTCTCTATTAAATGATCATTTATTTTGCTTCTGATCTTATTCTTTTCATGATTATTAATCAGTAAAGGTGTCAGGAGCTTAATCGCCTGAGTGCAAGGATTTTCTACGGTTCACAGATGCATGGTTTCATGTGCAGGACTGATTTATAAAGTTATGAATGACTTGAAAACAAGGCTTCACTGTGTTCTGAAAAATAATAAATTAATTGCCAAGATAAAATAGCTTGAACATGTGCTGATGGAGTGTGAAATTTTAGATGCTGTATAAAGAATAACCACAACTTTGGTTACGCAGCAAGTCAGATATGGCTGTTTATATAATGCTAATCGAGTCTAAAAGTATGGAAGAAGACCTTTCAACTAAGCTGTTGGAGCTTAAGAAACCTTTAGCCTTTTTAGATTTTAACTGCCCCTTACCTCAACTGTCTTGAAAGTATCTTTATCTCCAACTGGTGTCAATAAAATATTTTTAAGTTAGTCTCTGGAGTTGCAACTTATTTCAGTCTTTGCCTGAGACTCTATAAGCCCTTCTTAGAAATATACAGTGAGAAGTTACATGTGGTTTAAGATTATGTTCAATGTGGGATTTCAGTTTGTTTAGCTTGCAGTCTTCTTGCTCTTTTTTGCTGCTGTTTTTATTTCCATTTTCAAAATATCTTGGAGGTGCAGAAAATAGGATGAAATTAAGCTGCTAAAATGTAAGAAACACTAGAATTTGCATGATTTCATGCTCTAGGAAGTAGGCAATATGAATGGTTAACTTTTTAAAAATAAAGATCAGCTTTTGAGAAATTTCTACTGTATTAGTTCAAGGTTATCTGTGATCTTTCATTACATGGTATTTTGTTCTTTGAAACAACAAAGCTATCACGCATATAAAAATTTTTAAAGTGATTAGAGTTGGAAATTATATTAAAAGAATGTTTTTCTTTTAGTCTTCCCCTTTTTCTTGTTGCTACATTGGATCTTATTCGTAGGCTGAAACATAACATTTTAAAAATGCTTTTACAGAATGGCTTTATTTAGTTCACTGAATAAGTAGACTTTTTAAAACATCTATTCTACAAAATTTTTTGATTGAGATGTATGAGATGTGACTGAAAATGGAATAATGCAAATTTCAGAAAGCAGATTTGAGCTTTACCTAAGCGAAGTGTTGTCACATCCAGTGTTTTGCAAATTCAACTGAGAAAACCACATATAATGCTAGTTTGTAAATACTATGGCCCAGCAACATTTACAGGTGAACATTTGTTCTATTAAATAAAATTTAAAATCAGCTGATGTGTTTATCATATAATGTAAGCATGGGCATATAGTTTTACAGCATAAAGATCGAAGATTTTATTTTTAATTTGTGAAATGTCTAATATATTATCTCTGTATATACTTAATGAGAAATTTTTTACCAGACTTCTCTTTACCACTTCCTCATTTTCAGTGAACTGATTTGCTAGTCTCTTTAAATTTTAAATGTTGTGTTCATGATTAAATAATAAACACTTACTGCTTTTTTCAAAACCGGTGATTTAGACTCTTGTTGTACCCAAAACTGGGTGCTTTACCAGCTTGAGGTTCTAAATCCACTGTTGCAGATGCTAAATTAAATAAGTAATTAAATAAATAGACAAGATAGTCTTACACCTTTGGTGTAAACACAGTGTTTCGTCTTTACTTCTTACTCCGTTTTTGAAATGTTGCCTGGGTATCTGAAGCCCTGGTATCTCTGAAGCATCCAGTGGTTGACTCATGTCAACAATCAATGGAATTTGAATGGTTTGCATCGCTTCTGAAAATAAGTCAGTTCTGAATATCTCTAAAAATAAACTTGTACACCTGACTTTTATATCTGTTATTTCAAAAGTGTTTGTCTTAAAAATAAAATCAGAGGCTTCTTTTCTGATGTTCACTAGACTGTTAGAGATACTGTTTACTTCTGAGCAGCCAAGCTGTGGTGTTCTTCACAATCAAAACCATTTAGAAATTATTTTTTAACGTCTTAGCAAGGCAAGCTCCCCTTAAAAGTAAAGAAAATCCTGTTACATTACCAGATGCATTTGTTTATAAATACAATCATGCTGCTGTATTTTGACTGTGCCTCTGAAGAAAGAAAATGCACAAGTGAAAATTTTCTTTAAGCTTTCTATTTAAAGTAGGATAAATACTTAGATTGTGTTCTGGAGTGTACCCTACCATGTGTACGTAGCTCAGAAACACATAGTTTAACTTTGAATTGGGACTGTAAGAATAATCATGCAAAAGTGTTAGTCAAGTTTCTTGTTAACTACTTGCAGACTTGTTAGGTATGGGAACTTTGCAAAGGTTGACACACCTTTCTGTACAAGTTTTGAAATATAAACATAACTTAGAATCCTATGTTAAGTGAAAACAATTTGAAGTAAAATGTATTGCATGTGTAATTGAAAATTAACTTTGCCTTCTGTTTTTAAATTAATATGTTTATCTCGTAATTTTTTCCTAATAAAGTAAATTAATTATATCAAGGAATAATTATGTAGTAGCTTATTTCAGTTTGTTTAGAGGTGTTAGGTATTAGCAGGCAAGTTTTCCTATTGAATTTGATTCCTTAAGAGTTTTGGTTTTCTACCCCAAAACAGTTAAATCAAACATGACTTTTCTAATGGCCTCTCCTACCTAAGAAAAGCACTGTCATCTTTGATCATCATCACAACCTGATGTACTTAAAAAAAAAAAAAAAAAAAAAAAAAATTGTGTTGGTACGATTGCTGCCATCTTCCATTTAATATATGTTTGTTTTCTTTTTATACAGGTCATCCTTATAGAATTTTTACCAAAGACACCGATTTTTCGACCAGATTAGCATTTGATTTATTTATAGAGACTTATTCAAGTATGTTGTCTTTCCAATGGTGCCTTGCTTGGTGCTCTCCTGGTGGTGATATAGCATTGGTTCTACAGAATCTTGTGGTGTTTTCATTCTTTTTTTTTGTTTTGTTTTGTTCTTTGTTTTGGATTTTTTAAAATAAGAGCATGTTCTAAGTGCATTTGGTCAAACTCTGCAAAGTAATTTCACGCAAATGTTACCTACTACTTAAGTTATTGTTACTTTTACTACTTCTGTTTATTAGTGTATCTTGATTTTCAAAGAGTCTTTTATATGTGTGCGCGTGTGTGTACATATATTACTATAAATACACAGCTGAAAATGGTAATAAGTGAGCAGGTATTTTTTTATTCCGAAATTACGCAACTGATTGACTGTACATTGTGTAAGTCCTTTTAGTCATTCATTTACATGCTGAAGTACCTTCTAAGATCTTCTTAAACTTTCATCAGTGATTAGTCAGTTGTAAATATTTTTATTTCTTTTTGGGATACTGGCTAGCCTCTTACAACAACAGAAGGAGATAAAGTTCTTTTTGAAACTATGCTTTTTGGAGCCCAGATGTCATTGCGTTAGCAGAAATCTTTGGGCTCTTCATGAAGAAGTCCTGTCAGCTGGTTCTGAAAATGTTCTAATTTAAAGGTTGAAAAAATAAAGGCAACAAACCAGAATTATTTTACTCACACTAGAAGAATCACTGAGAGAATTGCATGTATCGGGGTAATAGAACTCAAGATCACAAAAATACTAGTATTGCAGTTTATAATGTAGCTGTTTTAATTCAGGCTAATGCCACGTATCACCTTTATTCCTAGTGTTTACGAGATCCTGTACACAGGGGTGCGGAAGGACTTGTTTTACTAAAACTTAATGTCCAAGAGGACCTTTCAGGGTGGGTTTTTTTGTTAATTTAAAGCCACATAAGCAGAAAAAAGTTATTGAACAGTACAGTTCCAGATGCAAATGCAGATATCTTGTATTAAAAATAATCAAAGCAGGGTACACTGGGCAACAGTGTAAGTTTAAATGTGTTATTTATTGCACCCTTGCTTCTGCTCATTTTGGTTTACAAAGTTTATTTTCTGCACAAGTATAAGACTTTTTTTTACTGGATATGATGTATGCTTGGGTCAGGCCAGTTGGTTTTTGTTTCTTCTACTTATATCTTAGTTGTACATATCTTCACACATAGGTGTTTTTTTAATTGCAATCAATCATTTTTAAATTTGCTTTAGGTATCTAAAATTACTGTACATGAGCATTAAGTTAAGAATATGTTCTTTGTACAGTTGTGGTAGCAAGCAATAATGTGAATATATGAAAAAACAGATATACTCTGCTTAATATTTGTATGAAAGAAAAATTGATACCACTACAAGCAAGAATAATCTTATCTTTTTAATATTTTAGATACAAGTTTTATTTCAAGGTAATATATTACAGGTACCTTGATGCTGTGAACTATTTTTCTATGTCTTCAAAATATTTATGCTCTGTAAAATATTCTCTAGTGAGTACTATATTCCTAAATTGTTCATAGTGGGAGTGGTCTAGAAAGTTTTAAGTTTTCTTAAATCTAAGCCTTCTGTATCTGTTCCTAAAACTCATCCTTTGCTCATCTGTCTGTGGACTCCTGATGTTTACTTTGAAAATAGCTCAGCTATGCTTTTCATACAGTACTAGTTTTGTGCTGCCTCAGTCTTCTGAGTCCCAAGGTGGTTTCTCTCCAAAGTAATTGCTTATTTCTTTAAAATCAGTTTCAGCCTCTTTAGTACAGATCTCTGTCTGCAGCGCTCCTCCTCTCACCCATACGTATTAGTTACAGTCTCAGACCAGTTTCAGCCTGCAAGGGAGGCCAGAAGTCTAACATTGATGCCAGCTGAGTTTGTAGAGGTTGCAGGTGCAGGAGAGAGGTTGGGATTGAACAAGAAATGATAACTGGTGATAAATACTGATGACCAGGAATATATGCTGATTTTCTCAAGTGTCAGTTTTCAATAAAATGAACATTGAATCATGCAAGCCCTAGATTTTATTATCAAAGTTCTCAGTTGACTATATAGATAGGTTTATGTCATGGATGCACTGGTAGTTCATTAGTGCAAAGGGATGGGTTGGTTATGGCTTGTGATATGTTCATAGCAGCACCTCATTCGGTGTGAGCTGTTTGCCTTAGTTTACTATCCAGACTTTACATACTACGTTCTGTGACACCACAACTACCTTGCCAGCAGCACCCAAGCCTACCTACAGAAAAGCCAATCTGAGCGCTATGTGTGCTGAAACCAGAGCAGTGAATAGTGTATCTTTTTAGTAAAGCTTCCACATAAGGGGTAGTACTGGTTAAAATCTTGTCTACTTTTAGGTGCATCTGCAGTAATCTGCTTGGTTAGCAGGCATTTCTGTATTTCAGCTATGACTTTCTTTCTAAGAATTCTAGTTTACGGTCCAGACTAGATCTCTGAGCAAATAAAAAGTGAAATCTCTTGGTAAGGAGGCCAAACTAATTGCCTCTTAAAGCATTTCTGATATTTTATTAAAACAGTGTCTCTGACTTAAAATACAACCAGGAAGCTTGAGAAACTGCACATCTATATTATGAGTTTTGCTCAAAAGTGTTACTCTCCTGATGTAGTACACTAAACTGGTAAGTATGTTATAAAACATTTTCATACAATCCCTTTCAATTCATTAATTACAGTGATAGAAATGGAACATTACAAGAACTTCAATCAGCTTTTTGACACCTGCAGCAGTCATCAGGATTTTCCTTTGTTGTTTTTAAAATATTAAATCTATTTATTTTGTGTGCTAGTGAGAAGACATATATTACCTTTTTTTTTTTTGTACAATTGGTGAAGAATGAAGTTGCAACAGTTTGAGCAGGCTGGAAGCTATAGTAGAACTTCCAGGATATAGCCTACTCTTCACTGAAATATTATTACTAATAATAGTACAATAAATTGTTCTAACTTGCTCAGTTTGCAATTCCTACAAATAATCTTATCTATTTAACAGATGATGCTGATTATCTGTGTTTCACCTTTAGCCTAAAATCTAATGGTAATGACATCAAGGACTTCCTGTGAAAGCTAATCACTGTTTTTAGATATAGTAGCCTTTAACTGTCCAATGATGATTTCTTCCTTAATAAAAAGATTTTTTTTTTAATTTTAAAGCTAAGTAGAAATAAGTCCTGAGGAAGAAAGGCTTTCTGTCTGACCGTACATGAAGAATTCTGTAGAACTCATCTGTTGTTAGATAGCTACGATTTGAAGTTTATACTGGGATTGGTAAACTTTACCATAAATTAAAATGTTTATGGAGATAGTCTACATGAAATCAGTAAATTTTTTATAATAGCTCAATAAGTTATTTTAATAAACTATGTATGCAAACCTAAAATTTGCCACAATACTCAAACCCAAATAGACTGTAAAAACTTTTTATGGTATTTAGATGTAAATTATAATCTCTAAATCGATTTGTTAAATGTTACCTTTTTGTAAATCTCAAGACCATGGTGTTGTAATACCCTGAGATATACTTACTTAAAAGTCAGTTTTCATTTTTTTCTAAAAGTCATTATTTAGCCCTGAAGATAGTAAGGGAAGAACTTTAAAGTGCAATTTCTAACTGCTCAGAAGCTAGAAGGCAAAGAAAAAGAACGTGTCTTTATTCCTTTCCCTCCAACCCCCACCCCCAAAGTCTTAATTTTAAATCAGTCCCCTTGTTTTGGGAGCCCCAGTTTATGGTTTTTGAGCAGCTGGCAATAATGCAAATTGTCCACCAAAAAATCCCATTTGAATTCTGAACAATTTAAAGAGATCACTTTAATTGAAGAGGCAGAAGACTTGTTAAGCAAAGAAAATCCCTCATTCTTTTAAGTTCTCACAGCACTGCTGTTGAGTAATTAAAAGAAGGATCATGATGACCCTACCAAAATCCAGATGATTTTATGTAAAGGAAATGCTCAATTAAAGAGGTCTCAGAGCCCTAAATGTATTGGATTCATAGTAGTGACTTACTGTGGGCAAGTGGCTCTGGCTAGTTTTGTATCCGTGACTAAAATAATTTATGTTGCACTTCAGCAACCTTGCTTATGAAAAGAAAGCAATTTCAAAATAAGATCTGTATTCATCACTATTATTTGCTGTAGTTTCTGTGCTGCTTCTCCCTAAAGCCACATTGTATTTCCAATCACAAACAGCTAAGTGTATGATCGTTATAATGCCTTTAATAGCCATATTGTAGGTAGAAATATTAACTTCTCAGGGACTAATAGGAAATACGAAAGTTGAGTTAATGAGCTGAATGCCTATCTGCATGAAGGCTTACTTTGCAAATGGCACCGTAGAAAACTTCTGATTGTAATATGCATGACCATTATGAATGTTATCCATATACAGATATGAGAACTCCCTTTACCCCATACCATTAGGCTGCTGAATGTCAAAGTATGTTGGATGAGGTTAAATTGTTGGGTTTTTTTTCTGATTTGGAGAGAGCAATTATTTCTAATGTTGCTACCTTCTTAATTCCTGTGTTTATTCTTTGTAAAGTTCTCTGTTGGCTGGGTGAATCAGAGGATACTGGTCTAATGGGAAAACAGTATAGTTCTTATTAATGAAGTGGAAAAATTTCAAGGGGAGTGATATTCTAGAAGAAAAAAAAACTTCATTTGGGTTGTTTTATTGGTAACAGTAGTTTGCAGTTAATTTTTGAACATCTTTTTGCATGCTGATGTTTCTGTCAGCATGTGCTGAATTAGAGACTATTTTTTGAAATTAAAAAAAAAAATCATTGCATGAAAATACATATGTTGACATTTGTTGTGCTGGTGTGTTTCTCTACCACATGGCACCTGGGTAGTACATCTTTTATAAACCTTGTTATTTTTTACATAGAAAATGTCCTTTCAAAAAATGCTTCTGCCTTGTTTAGCTCATTAATATTTCATTGATGTTTATTTTCTTGAAAAAAGCTTCATAAATGCTTGACCATTCAGAAGATCATTAGGAAAGATTTAAGTGAGGCGAAATATGAAACAGGAATTAGGAGAAGCAACATAATAATGAATGATGAAGGAATAATGAAAGTTAAGTAAAAGCTAGCCATTCATTTTGGTAATTATGTAGACTGTCTTAATTTGTATTCATTTTTTTATTTTAACAAGAATGTTATTAATTTATTTTGGTTATACCCTAGTTCATAGGCAATTCTGCTGTTATGCAGATTTTGAGGTAAGCTTCCTTCTAAACTCAGCATCTCTTAGTTTAAAATATCCAGACCTAAACAGAATTGCTGACGGGAGCTGTACAGCCAGTACAGAACAGTCTTTTCCTAAGCTGGAGCCTGTAATGCATGGCTAATTGTTTCCAAAGAAAATTCTTGACTTGTCCAGAGAGCTCCTGTCATGTGACAGTATATCTGAGGCCCAGAAGTAGGATCCAGTTAGGATAATTTAAGTTCAGGTAAGAGAGACTTTTGTAGTTAGTTGTAGCTTTTATGGGGAAGGCAGCCACTGACAAATGCTCACTTTTGGAGGGGAGATAGTAAATTTTATAATGTTTATTGAAAGATGCTTACCCCCTGCCCCATTTATAACCTCATAATTGAGAGTTGCTTTGCCTTATGTTGAAAGCTAGACTTGGTAGTTAGCTGAATACTTTTTTCTGTTAGTGTTTTAGCTTTGTGAATCCATTTTTTAAATTATGTTTAGAAATTTTTCAAAAAGTCAGATATCCTGATGCAATATAACAGATTTTTAGTGGCTCTGTGTTTAAACTGATTTCATTGTACCAATATAAAGATCTCACTCATGCACTCAGAATAGCTCAGAAAGCCTGTTGCAAGCACAGAAGGAATCAAACTTGTTAGGATATGCAGTGTACCTCCTTGTTAATATTGTCAGTGATCAGTTTGGCTCAGTGAGGTAACAAGGAATGCAGAGCAGTTCTGCATTTGAAAAAGTGTTAACTTGGATTCTTGTTTTCTTAGAAGACTGAGTATGGCAATCAGAATACAAAACTAATTTCAAACATAAATTTTGAAGAAAACAGTAAGCTACAAAACAGTGCCTAAATGTTGTGTGCTAAATTAATCTTGTCTAGTTCATGTTGCTTTAAAAGAATTTACGGAGAATTGCATCGGATTGCATGTGCTTAGGAAAAACCTGTTAACGTACAAAGCAGTAGTGGTAAATGATTCACTGAAAGGTTGGTATCTTTCAAGAACTTAAAAAGCAGTATGTTAAAAATTCAGGCAGAAAATACGTAAGCAATAATTTAACCTAGAACTGGATATTAAGCTGCTATTTGTAGAGGGTCTTGATGGTAATTTTACCTGCTGGGCATCTCCTCTCATAGAGTTTAGAAAGATAGGGTTGCTGCGACTTCCACTATTGTAACATTCCTCTTCAAATATTTTAAGTCTGTTTGAGAGACTGAAAGCTTAGAGGCCAGTACTGTGTTCACAGGGTGCACGGCTTTGGGAGGAGAAGATAGGAAGAAAAGGACTTTTCTAACGGCTGCACAATTGTATATATGCATATTTAAGAGTATTTAACCGTCTGCTAAATTACTGAAGTTAATCTATTGTTGAATTATGGAATATTATTTAATACATCAGCATTGTTTTTTCCTGACCTGACCCAGAATTGGAATGGACTCCAATATAATTTTTTTAAAGCATTTCTTAAGTTGTATGTATTATAAACTAATAAAATAATTGTTAACCTGTCTACTAAGCCTTACTGTTTGTCATCTATCCAGTATGTTGGTGGTGGTGGTGAGTAGGGACAGGAAGAAAAAAATAAAGCCCCCCCGAAACTTCTACCTTATGATACAATGATCTCTTCTAATTTCCAGTTGACACTTTCAGTATAAATCGGGGATGGTGGGGGAGATGTTTTTGTGTAATTGAGGTGAGTGACGCTAGAGACATTGCCTTAGGTGTTTCAAACCGGCTTTTTATTAAGTCTGCATTTGGAGTTTTTTAGACTTTTAAAGCCCTAATAGTAATAGCATTTATCATAAGTATTATGGTTGAATAGTCGTGTTGAAGCTGTTTGTATGCTTTTTTTTTTTTTTAATACAGTAGTGCTCTCAAACAAGATACACTGTCCATCTAGTTAAGGCAAGAGACCATTTATTGAGAAAGGATGTAATTCATGTATTTTTAAGACAGTCCAGATATGAAATGCTGGTTAACCTGAACCTTACGAACAAAAACTAATCCCGTGCTCTGCGGTGCTGTGAGGATGGTCTCGGTTCTCATCAGCCAGCTGCTTTTCTTTGCAGGAAACATTTTCCAGCTCTTTGGATACGCTAGTAAGGAAATCTTTAACGGCCTCTTTTTAGTGTGCATGTGTATAATGTATATAATATATATGCGTGTGTGTGTTCTGTATGCACACGTATAAAAAGCGTGCATGGGGAGGAGGGGGGCTCCTGCGAGGCGCTGTGAAGCATTCCGGGTGTTGTAATTTGGGCTTGCAAAGCGGTATGATACAATGTTGCTGAGCAGAAAAGCGCACGATAGATTTAATGTAGCCAATTGTGTACTTTTGAAAAAAAGAGTAACTGTTCAGTGTGAGTTAATTTTGGATTTTTTCAGCATCTCTCTTTTAGGCTTTGTGCTGCATTCTTCTAGACAAATGCGTATTCCATGTGGGCCACTGTTCTGCTAAATGCTCTCAGTTCTCCTTTTGCAATCAAGATTATGTTGCTAAGGAGATTTTGCTTTTATTGGTGCCATTGATTTGTGTTAATACGTTTTGAATACCTCTCGGTATTCTTCCGTAGACAAGGCCAAAAGAAAAACTTCCCTGAGTTTCCCGATTTACATTACAAATGGCGCGGTGGTGTAATGAAGCCGATATAAAGTGGGCAGTTGAAAGGGAACTAAAGAAGGGCACTCAAGTGAGAAATGAAGAAATGTGCCGAGAGCGGCCTGCGGGCCGCCTCCGGCCCAGCTGCGGGAGCGGGCCCGGCCC